GTGGAGATCGTTCATCGTGTGTCATATCAAGCTGCCCCACATCCCCCCTTCCCCTCCCCCGCTCACCCGCGGCTCCAGCCCGGGCTCCGCGCTTCCTCTCGGTTCCGGCTCCGCGCCCCCAGCGGCACCCCGTTTCCTGTCCGTCCGTGAAACCCATCCCTGGGACGGTGCCTGCCGGTAACCAATCAGACCCCGGTGCCTCCTAGAGAAGGTCCGGGGCCGCTTTGGGCGCTGCTCTTAGGTTCCGGGCAGAGGCCGGGCGGCCTAAAGACCGGGGCCGGGTGGTAATGGAGCCCGTCAGTCCGCGCCAGGAGCAGGGCTCAGATAAAGAATGAGCCACCCTTACCCCTTCCTTCCACCGGCTTCAGAGCCAAACACAGGCCGCTGCTGTAAATATTGCATTCCAGAGGGAGGTGTTTGATAAAACAGTTGAAGATGGTTAGAAAGAACAATTTAACAAATTTAATAACTTCCAAAGCGGCCTCAGGAACAAAATTAAATGAAGATATGAAACAAAAACAAGAAATTAGAAAGATGGGGTAACTCTGCCTCAGAGCTAACCCACACTGAATATCCAGTGCTGTCTTATTTCACGATTCTTCCAACAAACACGTTCTCAGTTTAAAGCGGATGTGGAAGATGTTTGATGAAGTAATCCCTCAGAATGCTCCAGGTCTCACTACAGCCTTCCTGGGCCTGACTGTCCCGGAGAGAACGTCCACAGAAACCCTTTAAGGCAAACTTTCTCACATTAATATTCATTTTGTGATGGATCTGAGCTGGGACATTATCTCACTAACCGCCCCCAAGCAGAGGAAGAAAAGCTGTATCATAAATCAGAAGAGGGACTATCAGGAGGTGATGTGGATGAAGAGATTTGTTCTGGTCACCCCGGATTCCCATTCGTCAGGAAACCGCTGTTAGTGCGGTGGCTACATCAGAAATCTACTTTTGGTCATCTCACTGAGATTAGCAAAACCTCTTATATGAGTGGGCTGAATGGTTATCTACTTTGTGATACTAGGAATCAGTACACAACTCCCAGCAACCTTGTCAGATTTTTTCAAAAAATCAAATTGGTTTAATTTTAATAAGCAGAGTTTATGTTTAGTTCCCTGAGCTGCTGTTGGCCATACTAAATCTATTAGAATCCAATAACACCCGAATACGATGTTCATTGAGATTAAACCTGGGTGTTAATTCAACTCTGTAACAAGTCAGGCTGGGCAACACAAGGAGAATTACAGCTGGCCTTAGGTAGGAACACATGCTTCTGATTCCTGTACAGTGTCTCATGCTGGGAAGTCACTGTTAAAAGAATGATACCTGGACTTCAGGTTTAGGTTATGATGACAGAGTATACAACGTCAACCTGTTTTGTCTGGAATTTAGAAGGTTAAGGGGTGATCTGATCAAAGTCTCCAATATGTTAACAGAAAAAGACAGGGTAGGTAAAGATAAACTATTTCTACTGACTAAGATTTGAAAAGTAGGGGCATAGACCATTAAGGAGAGATGTTAGGAAATACTTCTACATACAAAGGGTGGGAGGGGTTTGGAACTCACTTTCACAAATGTCACTTGTTGCTAGATCAGTTGTTAATTTTAAATCTGAACTAACTTTTTTTTGTTAAGCAAAAGAATTAAATAATATGAGCCAAACCAACCATAATCTCATTGAAAGGCGAGAGAGAGAGTGAGTGAGAAAGAAAGAGAGAGAGAAGGTGTGTGTGAGAGAGAGTGAGTATAATCCATATGCCAATGAGAAGCTGTGGGGTGGCAGCTGATTTACTGGATTAATCCATAAAGCTAGGGGACAGGGGTTCAAATCCCACCAGGGTGGATGGTGAAATATGAATTCAATAAAATTTGTAATTAAAAGCTGGCCTAATGGTGACCGTGCAACCATTGTTGATTGATGTAAAAACCCACCTGGTTCGTGAATGTCCTTTAAAGAAGGATTTCAAGCAGTCTCGCCCACACAACTTCAGACCCACAGCAAAGTGGCGGACTCCTACCCATCCTCTGAAAGGGCCTAGGAAGATGCTATTGTGTATCAAACCGCGGCAAAATCTAAAGAAAGGAATATAACTGGAAAGACCAGCTTCCACCAACCAAGGCACTAGAAACAAAGTAAAACGCTTCCTTTTGAACCCAACAGAGTCTCGTCCCTTGGATATGTCCTGTCCTGCCAGCAGAACAGATCCAGCAGAGGGGGAAGCACTGTGGTATATAGTTGTAAGGGAATTGCCCTGGAAGCGCTCAACATTGACTCTGGACAGAATGAAGTCTCATGGCATCAGGTTAAACATGGGCAAGGAAACCTCCTGCCGATTACCATGTACCATTCTCCCTAAGCTAATGAATCAGTACTCCTGCATGTTGTTGTTTAACACTTAGAGGAAGCACTGAGGATGGCAAGGGCACAAAATGTACTCTGGGTGGGGGATTTCAATGCCCACCACCAGGAGTGGCTCAGCAGCAATACTACTGATCGAGCTGGTCAGGTCCTAAAGGACATAGCTGCTAGACTGGGCCTGTGGCAGGTGGTGAGAGAATCAAAAAAAAAAAGAGAGAAAAACAGACTAACAGACTTGACCTCATCCTGACCAAGCTGCTGGTTGCAGATGCACCTGCCCATGACAGTATTAGTAAGAGTGACCACTGCACAGTCCTTGTGGACATGAAGTCCCGCCTTCACAATGAAGATACTCTCTATCATGTTGTGTGGCACTATCACCATGCTAAATGACTTCAACAGATCTAGCAACTCAAGACTGGGCATCCATGAGGCCATCAACAGCAGAATTGTACTCCAGCACAATCTGCAACCTCATAGCATGGCATATCACCCACTCAACCATTGCCATCAAGCCAGAGGATCAAATAAAAAGGTACTGGGTATAAGACCTCAAGATATAGGAGCAGAATTAGGCCATTCAGCCTATTGGGTCTGCTGTGCCATTTGATCATGAATGATATGTTTCTCAAACGCATTCTCCTACCTTTTCCCCGTAACCTTTGATCCCCTGACGAATCCTGGACCTGTCTGTTTGTGTCTTAAATACACAAAATGAGTTGGCCTCCACAGCCCTCTGCAGCAATGAGTTCTATACATTCCCCACCTGCTGGCTCATCTCAGTTCTAAAGGGCACTCTAAGGCTGTGCCCTTGCTCCTAGTCTCTCCTACTAGTGAAAACATCATCTCCATGTCCACTCTATCCAGGCCTGGCAGTATTCCATAAGTTTAAATCTTTGAGTACAGACCCAGAGTCCTTAACAGTTCCTCCTACGAGAAGCCCTTTATCCTAAGATATTCTTGTCAACCTCCTCTGGACCCCCTCCAAAGCCAGCATATCCTTCCAAGATATATCTTCCTTAAATTCCCTCAACTTCTCGCACCCTTACTTTAAAAATCAATGACCTTTTATAACTCACTCAATCTCAGATCAAGTCTCAATCAGATTCCCCCTCAGCCTTCTCTGCTCCAAGGGAAACTAGCCCAGTGTCTCTTCAGAGCAGAATGACTCCAGCCCAGGCAACATGCAGCTGAATCTCCTCTTCACCCTCCAGTGTAATCTCATCTTTCCTATAGAACGTTGACCAGAACTGCATACTCTACTCCAGCTGTGGCCTACAGTTGTATACAGCTCCATTGTAACTTCCTTACTTTTATACCCAATGCCTTGAAAAATAAAGGCAAGGTATCCCAAAAGCCTTCTTAACCATATTCACCTGTCCTGTTGCCTTCAATCATTTATGGTTCCTCTGATTCCGTAATTCCATGGGTCCTACCATTCATCGTAAACTCCTTTACTTTATAAGTCCTCCAAATTTTCAGAATTAAATTCTATTTGCCATTGTTTTGCCCATCTGACTATTTGTCCCATAACCAGAGGCTCTCCTCCTTGCCATTTACCACATCATAAATTTTACAGTCACCTGTAAACTTACTGGTAAGACGTACAATATTCATGTCCTTATCATTAATGAAGCTATGATTCACAAAAGTAGATGACAAACAGCAAGGAACCCAGGCTTTCAGTCACAAGAGACTTTTACCATCATCTTCTGTTTCCTGTCACGGATCCAATTTGCTAAAATTGGCCTGGATTCCATGGATTTTTACTTTTATGACCAGTCTGCTATGTAGAGTATATCCAATGCACTACACTGAAAATGTTTTCAGGAGGCGACAAGCTGAATCAATCAAATTTGACAGATACAATTTCCCTCTGACAAAGCCAAGATATCCTTGATTAATCCTTACCTATCCAAATGGAGATACAATTGTATCCTCAGAAATTTCTCTAAATATTTCCCAACTGATGTCAGACTCACTGGCCTATCCCTACCATGTTAGTTGTTTACCAATCCCCTGGCACCTCCTGTATCTAAAGAGTTTTAAAATTGACATCAAGTCTCCTACAATTTCCTCGCTTACCTCCCACACAGTGATTGTTTGAATGTGACATCAAGAAACTCTAAGCAAAAGTAGAATTAATAGGAACTGGGGAAAATCTTTTTGCTGGTTGAAGTCATACTTGGAAGATGGTTGTGGCTAGAGGTCAGACATCTCAGCTCCAGGACATCTCTGCAGGAGTTCCTCAGGGCAGTGTCATAGGCTCAGCTATCTTCAGCTGCTTCACCAAGGACCCTCCCTCCATCAGAAGGAGGTCAGAAGTGGGGGATGTTTCCACAATGTCCAGCAGCATTCACAACTCTTCAAGTTCAGAAACAGGCCAAGTCCAAATGCAAGACCTCGACAATATCCTGGCATAGTGCCAGGGAAAGATCTTCTCCAATAAAAGGTAATCTAACAATCACCCCTTGACATTCAATGGTGTTACCATCCCTGATGCTTCCACTATCAACAGCCTGAGGGTTACCATTGATCAGAAACTGAACTAGATTAGCCATATAAGTAGTGACTATAAGAAAACATCAGAGGTTAGGCACCCTACAGAATGTAACTCATGCCCTGACTCCCCAAAGCATGTCCACCATCTGCAAGGCGCAAGGGAGGAGTGTGGTGGAATGCTCCCCACTTGCCTGGATGGGTGCAGCTTAAACAACACTCAGAAACTCAACACCATCCAGGAAAAAGCAGCTCCCACTTGACTAGCAATCTACCACCTTCAATGTTCACTCCATTCACTAATGCACAGTGGCAGCAGTGTGTACTATCTACAAGATACACCACAGTAACTCACCAAGGTTCATCCAACAGGTCCTTCCACAAAATCACCACCATCAAGGGCAGCAGATAAATGGGAATATGGCAAGTTCCCCTCCAAACCACTCAATCATCAGACCTAGGAAATATATCGCTGTTCCTTCAGCCTCACTGGCTCAAAATCCTGGAACTAACAGGCTTGTGCATGTCACATTGAATCAAGGAGGAAGCTCACCACAAGCTTCTCCAATTGTGAATAGGCACAACACATTTCCCATAGACCCAAAAAACCTATCCCATTGAGTCCATATTGGAAATGGGTGAATAACAACTACTGGGTTTGTGCCCTCATGCTGGGTACCACAGAATCAGCATTGTGCAGCACAGGCAAATGGAACAGTTCATTTGGGGACTTTCTCTTGTTCTCTCTGTAAGCCTGCAGGTTCTTCCTTTTGAAATGACTCTCTCTGGAATCTACCTCCACTGTACCCTGAAGGTTTGTATTCCAGGTTTTAGCCACAAACTGGTCCTCAAAGGGTTAAATGAGGGGACCTGATCATGTCCCCCAAACAGGGATTGCTAGTACAGGCACTGCCAGTCTTGCCCTATCATCCTTTCCCCTAGGACACGCGCACACACACACGAGAGGGGAACACAATCCACAGTCCAGGAAGAATAGTGGAATCAAAACAGGAACCTGCTGGTAATTAATTCCAGTCCAATCCCAAGCTTTTTAGCACAAGAGCTACAATCGGTGGGTCACAATGCCCTGCAGTGGCTTTGCAGAGTTTTCTGACTCGCTCACTATTTATGGAGTGTAGTCTGTGATTAGTACAGCTGGAGGGTCAGCAGACTGCACCAACTAAGCAGAGAGAACTGCAAACTGACCCACACCCACAAGTGCCCTCAGTACAGGGACCAGCTGCATACAAGGAGGAGAGTGCTCCCAACTGCCCCAGACTACCATTTACCCCTTGGACCAGCACTTTCCAAACCCTTTTCCCAACAACAGGGAAGAAAGGTAGGGAGGAAACAGCTGAGAGAGCGAGTGTGCGCGAGTGGAGGTCGGATTCTGTGGTTGCCATTGCTGCCTTGTAAAACACTTTGGGAAGACTTGCCAGAAACATCAAAATGGGTCACAAATTCATTCATTTGCTTTTTGTGGGACCTTGCCATGCCCAATGAGCCAGTTACCTAAAGTGATTCAGGAAATTGAAGTTGTGCACACAAAGAAACGCAAAGCAATTCCTGCAGCATGTTGAGGATAAATTCTTACAATGAAATTCAGTGTTCTCATACACAGACATTTCTGCTCTCCCAGGGAACACTCAGCAGGAGCCCTACACACCCCCAGTCCCACTTGTTAAATACTTCAACTCCGTTCAGATTGAATACAATCATGGGGAGCAGAAGAAGGTGGGGAAAGGCAAATCCAAGCTTCAGACGGAGCCAAAGAAAACACACCTTCAGATGTTAAGCTTTCCATGAACAAGCCTTGTTCATGTTTTGAACCAGCAATTGCTCTAGTCACCCTGAGGCTTCCATCACAGCAGCTGTTTCAACACAACGTCAGTATCTGGGGAAGAGACAGGTTACACCCAATACCAGAGGCAAGTCAGAGTGACACAAACACAGACAGGCTCCTGAAAAGTCTTTTATTCAATTTAGAAACAAAGAAATAATGACTAAAAAAAAAAAAAAAAAAAAACAAAAAATCAAAATACTGCTAATTCCCAGCTGCAAACATGGAATAAAGCCACTGTTTACGGAAGCTCTTTGATAAGCATCCCTCGTTTTAGATTGATTCTAGCTTCGAGCTGCCTGCTGTCAGGAACAACAGCAGCTGTTTGAGATCAATAGGAGGTCCCTGACCAGAGACTCCCACTCATCTGGGTAGTCAGAGTAATCCCAGAGCAAAGCGCACTATAGAGAGGGTTTTGGGCACCAAGGAACCACAATCCAAAACAAACAAGAACTTCCAAGCACAGATTGCAAGTGGAACATTTCCCTGCAGATAACACAGCTAGAGTAACATGCCCAGGGTCCACCTAGCCCCCTTCCTCAGTGAGGAGGGTGGTTTTGGGTAGTCAGCAGCAAGAGGTTGCAGAACCAGATCCAGATCCAGGCATCAGGGAAGGTTCCAAACTTTGCTATTAGATGGCCAGATAGCAAAAAGGAACCTTTCACAAGCTCTCAGAGCTTAATGCCACATGTTCAAGATCAATTATCCAAATCAGATGGGAGGAACACAGGTCTACATTGCCCACATCCCAGTCTAGAATTCTATTGAATGATCCTCTGCCCAGCCATATGCAGAAGCTGCACACCAGCAATCCCCATCACCCCACCAGATCTTGGTCATACATCCCAGGAGAGAAAACCACAACTGCAGATTTCCCTCCCAGAGATGGTGACTCTCACTGGGGCACAGAGCCTCTCCTGAAGGGACCGACTCTCACTGGAGTACGGGGTTCTCTCCATCACCCACCCCCCAGAAGGGGCTGACTCTCACTGGGGTACAGAGTTCTCTCCCCCCAACTCCTGAAGGGGCTGACTCTCACTGCAATTTTAACCAGTGCGAGACATACAGAGCCCTTGATATTCTACGCACAAACAGGATGACCAGTCACTCAAACAAAAAGTGGAGAATCATAGTTTAGGCAGATCCCGCAATACAGTTTAGAAATTCCTCTGAAAATGAATTATGATGGAAATATTCAGTATTTCATTCTTCAGCTTCCAGGTCAGCAATTTTCTTTTTTGCTAGGCCCGTTTTCAGGTTGCGCAGGAATCCCCCTCTTCTGAGATGCTGAACTAGAACCAGGAGCATCATTATCAAAGGCAAAACAAACCCAAAACTGAACTTCTGTGAATTATTTCACCCTCTGGCCTGGGCTGTCCCAGTCCCGCTTGTCACCACTTCCAGAGAGGAAATTATTGTGACTCATGGCTCAGAGTCACTAATGTCAGGAGAGTCTCAATTCAAGGGCATTTGGTTTAAACCAAAAACCATCCTTTTAAAACTTTCATCTCAAAATGTTTCCATCAACTTCAACCCTGTGACAGAATGAAAGCAAAGCTGCCAGCACAGCAGCATTGTGGGAGGGATTCTGCAATAAGATCAGCGTGTGCAGTCTCAGTGTCATGTTGCTGAAGCAGCCCTTAAACCCAGGTTTACAGAAACAAGTAGAACCAGCAACAGCAGATCAGTAGGTGGTCAGTGGCAGGAAAGCTTCAGGCTGCAGGCGTTCTGCACTTCACTAAGGCTGGGGTAGGGGTGCACAGCTTGTCCTAGAGAGAGAGGATCTCCATCTTCTGCCACCAGTAATTCAGGCCCGCCCCAAAATTTGAAACCAGGGCTTGGTGAGAGGTCACTTAACTTTACTCAGGGGCAGAGTTACATGACCGCAGCAGGAGACAGCAAACAATTCAGAGAGTGGTATTCTTATCGATACAGACAGGATCGGAGTGGAAAGCTTCTGGGATGGGGATTTGGCAGCGGCTAGAGTGGACACTCCCCACCAAGACACAGTTGAGGGGAAGAAAGGGCCAGACTATCAGGTAGAAAGTAAGTATCAGAGGCAAATCTTTATCAGCAAGTTACATGGAGCGATGCAGCACCCCCTCCCCAATAAACGTTTCACCATTGGCTTCAAAAACAAACAGAGTCAGAAATGAGAATACAAACCAGCCCCTCCCTCCCATCCCCCCATCTCCCCCCACCCCCAAAACAAAAAGTAACCAATCCCCTCCTTTTTCCCCCTCCCAGCCAGGAAACAGTTTATTCTGGAAGAGCAGTGTTGACGTGACACACCCCAAATATATTGAAGGGGAGAGGGGAAGGACAAATATTGCAATGTAGGCCTGGTCTCAGGCCCAGAGCAAGGGCAGCTGTCAGCCCCTGGAAGGGAGAGGGGGGGGAAAGAGGAGGAGGGGGGTCAGCTGGTCACCCCCTCCTGCCCGATGATGGTCATGATTCTTCATTTCCCGAGTCATCGTCGTCATCATAGTAATCACCATCACCATCTTCTTCATCATCCATATCATCATCGTACAGGTCATCATACAGCAAGTCCGAACTATTGTCATGTGGTGGCGCTTTAGTCTTGACACAATATTCCGCCAGGGTGGTTGGTACCTTCACACCATCTTTATCTGCTTCTGCCTTGGTGGCTAAAACCTGTTTTCTGAGAAAGATAGAAAAAGAAAAATGGTTTCCAAATTCAGTGAAGGTCCAGATTCACAAAGCTTCAACAGAATTTACCAGCAAAGCCACTTAGAGGCCATTTGGCCCCACAGGCTTCCTCTTGCCCCTTTTTCCATCTCATCCCATCAGTATATCCTTCCAATTGCCTTTTCCCCATGTCAAACCCTTCAATTTAATTGGCATTATTCACCTCAGCCAAACCCTGTGGGAGAGAGTCCCATATTCTCCCATTTGCTAAGTGAAGAAGTTTCTCCTGAATTACACTTCTGACCCTTTAGATCTGCCTTCCTGCAGAAGTAAAAACAACTTGGCTAATTGCAAGGGTCAATGCCAAAAGCTCTACCTGTCACTCATCATCCAGAGCAAGCACTCTTCAATCTGCTCAGTCTCCCTGTGGGGTCAGTCTGGTGTCATTGCCAGAAATCCATGTTGACTGTGGAAAAGGGACAGGATAGGCCTGGGTAGAGTCACAGGGGCACCATCAAGAAGGTCCCATCATTTTAAGTAGGCAAATTCAAGTTACTCCTTCTGCTCTCCTGGGTGAACAGAAAACATCCCAGTAGCACAATCCCAAAGGACGACAGGGGCTGGCTCCCTGAGCAATATTTATTCCTCAGTTAAGAAAAATCCACTGGATGGTTCCGATTCATAAGTTTATGTGCCACATCTAAATCAGAGGTATACAGCACAGAAAGACTTCATTTACCCATAGAATCTGCACTAGTCAAAACTCACCTAATTATTCTGATCACATTTTCCAACACTTGGTCCATAGCCCTATGCACCTGTCATGTTCTTAAATTAAGGGTCAGCGAGGTCTACATACATCGGTTGGCAAATTCATTTGTGGTTAGTTCCAGTCACTCTCAGAAACACAATGGGGTGAGCGGAGGACTGCAATATGTGACATAGGACAGAGGAGGGCAATAATGCCAAACAAGATGACACAAAGAAAGATCAAAGGAAACCAAAACAGAAAGTGATCTCCACCCCCACCACAGCTGGAGACAGGGATGGAATCAACATGGCATTTTTTTTTGGGGGAGCGGTATGGTGGCAACAGGGGAAATAAGATTAAATTGGTTCACTAGTCAAATAATAGACAAAAACATGAGACAAAGCAGTCTAGAGAAGCTAATAACAGTCTAAAACACTCTGCAGATTCAACCAGATCATTAGGAAGTGGTTTTCCTTAATGGATTCTGAAGTTACAAATTGGCAAAATTCAAGGAAACTATGTACTGGATGTGAGGTACAAACCTGCCACTCCAACTGAAATTCTCAATTGGACTTTCAGTTCGAGAAACAATTCACAAGGCCAGGTTCCCAACAAAATTTGTAAAGGTAAACCTGGACAGATTTCTGTCACTTTTCCCAGGAACACAAATTTCTAAAACTGTCAGTTAAAGAATAACGAGTGATCCTGTATTTAAAGATGTTCTGTTAGAATGACACTTATTTGATGCCAACTGACACCATTGGATTTGCACGGTTCTAAAAGGATCACTTGAAAAGCAGATACACTCATCTTGAAACATACAAAGGGCAGTAGATGTTTAGAACTCTGTTCCATAAACAGCAGTGGATGCTACGTCAGTTGTTAGTTTTAAATCTTGATAGATAGATTTTTGTCAAGCAAACGTATTAAAGGGATATGGGGCAAGGTCAGATAAATGGATATATGGAGTTTGGCCACAGATCAGCCATTAGCTCACTGAATGGCAGAACAGGCTTGAAGGACTGAATGGCCTCCTCCTGTTCCTAGGTATCAAGGAGTGATCATATTGTTACTGGATCTCACTGGGCGCTGCTTGAATTGGGTGAGTTTCCCAAACCTCCCACCAAACACACCTCAGATCCATCTTAAATAAAAAAATATGGAAGCAGCAACACAGTGCCAATGATACGGAAATGAGAGCGCAGAGCCACATTGGAAAGTACTAGGGTGGTGTCCTGGAATTGGCAGAATACAATCCAGGGGCTGAACAGCTTTCTCCTTTTCTTGTCAAATCACGATCACAAGGGAAGGAAATACACAAATCAGCAACATGACAAATCAGCCCTCTCTTCTAGATGATAGTGACCGTGAATATTGAAAGAATGGTTTTTAAATTGCAGTGTATTTTCCAAGTGGTAGACAGTGCTGCCACTATGGGCTTGCAAAAGCGAATGAGGTTGTTGACTTGCTCACCGAGCTGGCTTTTCTTATTCATGAACAAAAACAAGCCAGCTCAGCGAGCAAGTCAACCTCATCCACAACCCAAGCTACAGATCTTTGCCAAAACTTTTAGAAAGAAGTGAATGTTTGTGGAAGTGGGATTTTGTCTGAAATCAAAAGGCTGCTTTTTGTCCTGGATGGTGTCAAACTTCTTGAGCGATGTTGGAGCTGCACCCATCCAGACAAGTGGAGAGTATTCCATCACACTCCTTACTTGTGCCTGGTAGATGGCTTTGGGGAGTCAGGAAGCAAGTTACTCACTGAAGGATTCCAAATCTCTAACCTGCTCTCGTTGGCACAGTATTGATATGGCTGGCCTGGTTCAGTTTCTGATCAATGGTAAACCCCAGGACAAGGAGTGTGAGTGTTAGCGATGTTAACACCATTGAATATGAAGAGGTGATGGCTAGATTCTCTGTTGTTGGAGATGGCCATTGATTGGCAATTTTTGGTGCAAGTCTTACTTGGAATTTATCAGACCAAGTCTGCAAATTGTCCAGGTCTTGCTGCATTTGAGCATGGACTGCTTCAGTCTCTGAGAAGTTGTCAATGGTGCTGAACATTGTGCAATGAACATCCCCACTTCTAGCCTTATGGAGGGAAGATAGATGAAACAGCTGATGATGGTTGAGCCTGGGACACAACCCCGCTGAAATCCTGCAGAGACATCCTGGAGCTGAGATGACTGACCTCCAACAATCTCAACCACCTTACTAATGTGTTTGGTATGCTCCAATCAGCAGAGCATTTCCCCCTGATTCCCATCAACTCCAGTTTCCCAGGAGGTCTTTGCCACATTTGGTCAAATGAAGCCTCAATGTCAAGGGCAGTCACACACAGTGCACTTCCAAAGTTCAGCTCTTTTGTCCATTTTTGGACCAACGCTGGAATGCAGTCAGCCTGATGGGAGGTCAGCACCCTAATGATCTTTAGGTAAAGAAATCTGTCATCCCTACCTGGTCTGGACTACCCAAGGTCCCAGACCTACAGCAGTGCAACTGATTCTTAAAATGCTGTCTGAAATGTCTGAGTAGGACCATCATCTTTGTAAGCAACTCAAACAGTTGCCTTGCAAAGCCCAACTCCATGCCCTGAACAAATAAAACACATTTTTCTGCTGCATTGGAATTATTTATCATGGTACCTACCTACCTACATAACTTTGGCAAAGTTGGCCATACAAACTCTCTTTCTTCACCCAAGCCATTAATGATGGCATGAACAGCTATAGCTATGATCTCAGTTCAGGTTCCTGGGAGACACCAGTCACATCCTGACAGACTGCAGTACACTCTAGTTCCTGTCCTTGTACCAATCTCCTACCCCCAGGCAGCAATTCATCCTCAAGCTCCAACCTCTGTCACCTTCCAATGAGGTCTTTCATTGTAGCAGTTTATAGCAATGATAGCCCTCTCAGCTGCTGCAGCCGAGACCCTGACTCTGATTTGGTCCATGCACAAGAGTGAAGCGTTTTGGCCAATCTTGCCTCTTCATTCAGAAACTCCACATCTCATGAAACAGAGCTCCAGGTCATCACACTAACCGCAACAGCCTGCTACGGCATCAAGTCTTAGCCACAGTACAGAAACTCACATGATCACAGCCCACATTGATCAGATTTTAAACAGCCTTACACTCACCTAATAATCTCTGCATACTCTCGATCCTTTCCTTTACTATCCCGCCACTTCCGAAACATCACTGAAGCATCCACATTAGCAGGAGAAAATGTGTTTGGCTCATTCAACAGTGAGATGACGCTGAGGAGAATTGTCCTGTCATGAATCAGGAAATTTTAAACAACAGAGCAAATTAAAGCAGCAACACAAAGCACTGGCTCAATTTGTAGCAGATTGCTGTGAAAATGATTGTATCAACTTGTGGCACTTGTACCTGACATTCTGGGTGGGATTCCATCTCTCAGAGGGGAGCTCTCCACTCTGTGGGTCATCAACTGGTGGATGCAGAATTGAAATACACACGTCCCCATTCTGCAGGAGAGACAGAAGGATTTCCTCAGCATTTACGTCCCACAGGATAAAGCTCAAAGCTCCTGACACTGGGACCAAGGCAGCAGCCCTCACCTACTGCCCCTCCCCACTTTCCCAACCCCAAGGGAGGGCCCAAGCACTGCTCAACCCCTCAAATTCACCCTTTTCTCCCAGACGCTAACCTTACCTCGTAGATATTGGGATGCCACATCTTGGTGAGGAAGCGGAATGTGGGTGGAGAGTATGGATAATCCATAGGAAACGTCAACTGTGCCTGGGAGAGGAAACAAATGGCAGCTTTTAGACAAGCTGGGGCAAGGGACACCATCAAATGTCAACCTTGATATGCCACCCCAGCTTCTACCCTCCCTCCACAGAGACACACCAATCCCAGCACGGCTCTCCGGACCAAGGACAGAAGCTGTGTAATCCCAGGGTTCTCCCCAGTCACCATGATAGCTGAAGTTATTCCCTCACTAGATTCCTCAGAAAACAGGGCAGAATTCCACCAGAGTCAGAGAGTCATACAGCACAGAAACAGGCCCTTTGGTCCAACCAGTCCATGCCAACCAAGTTTCCCAAACTAGATTGTCCCACTTGCTGCATTTGGCCTATATCCCTCCAAACCATTCCTATTCACATACCTGTTCAAATGTCTTTTAAAATGTTATAACTGTACCTCTGGCAGTTCATTCCATATATGAACTATCTTGTGTGAAGCTGCCCCTCAGGTCCCTTTTAAATCTTTATCACCTTAAAAATATGCCCTCTAGTTTTCAACTGCCCCATCATATTCACCTTATCTATGGCCCTTTTATATTTTATAAAGCTGTACAAGGTCACCCCTCAAGCGCCTATGCTCCAGTGCAAAGAGTCCCAGACTATCCAGTCTCTCCTTGTAACTGATACTCCCCAGTCCCGGCAACATCCTTGTAAATCTTTCCTAAACGCTCTCCAATTTAATAATCCTCCTACAAGTGCCTTAGACAAAAAAGTGCTAGCTACTGAACCAAACATGATAGCCTAGCTACATTTAACCCACTTATCCAGACATGTTTTGACACTTCTGGACAAGATGGGACTTGAATCTAGGTATGTGAGCTCAGGAGGTATAGACAATCCCAATACACCACAACATGTCGGATGGAGGCAAATTTTCTGTAGCAATTTCACTGCACTCACTCATTGTCAAACTCTGCAAGACATGAAACTTTGCACAGACAGTGTCTCAACAGGCTTTACCCTCACTTACCCCACCCTACAAATTCGTGCACAGGTCAAAACCAAAGGGAACCTGGTTAAAAGTGGGGAGGTGGGGGCGGGAGGAGCTAAGAAAGTGTAAAATACCTCAAAACAAAGGACACTCTACAGATTCTTCCTGCCACACGCAAATCACAAAGAACAGCAAGGAGTACACAAACGAGGAGAGAAAAATCAGATAGCACATGGCCAAGTAGTCATATTCCAAGGAGACTGCACACAGAGGCTGCAGCTGCTGCTCAGCAAAATCTATGCCGTGCCAAAGTAAGACCAGACACTGAGCCAAGTTTCACCAAATTATTTGTTCAGTACATAACATGCACCAAGCTCAGGCCCAGAGAATTCTTGGTTACTGAATTCCCAGAAGCTGTTATTAAACAGCAGCTGAACAGAAGCAGCAGAAACAAAACCAGCAGGGGCATAAGTAAACAGTCCAGACATGATTTTTAAAGACACATTTAAAAGGTACCCACAGCCATTCGCTGCAAACAGCTGCTGAGAAATAACTGAAGAGGAATTCTCAGCTGTCCACAAGAGGACTCCAGAACTCCCCCCTCCACAAGGATCAAAAACACCAGGCCAGTGTTTGAGGAATATACTGACGATCTCAATGCCCCTCATTGTCCAGCACACAGGGACAGCCACATGGGAAGGGCTGCTTTTCTGACAAGATAATCAGTAAAGGCTCATCTGTTGCTTTTGGCTGTAAAAAAATCCTATGGATACTATTTTGCAAAGCAAATGAGGTCTCCCTAGCATCCTGGAGCCAATATTCATCCTTAAACCAACTTAAATACAGAACACCAGGCCACGTTAGTCTGGGATTTTCCCGAGGAAAAAATTAGATGCCCCATACCTGTCCACACTGAACAGTAAATTCACACACTCAGTTGTGGGCTTGACACTGGATACCAAGCAAAGCAACTTGTATTCATGTAGCACCTTTAATATGTCAAGATTACAAAACAGAATTTGACGTGAGCCACAATGTTAAAGCAGGTGGCCAGAAATTTGGTCAAAGAGGAGGGTGCCAGAGAGAGGTCATCAGTTTTAAGGAGCATTTCGAAAGGGGACAGATGGGAACTCCAGAATTTCACGCTGAACAGCTGGTGATGGTAGAGAGCTGGAAATCTGTAGCAAAGAGAACCAGAAGATGCACAAACTATACAGGAGAATCTGAAGAAAGAGCCACATAAAGCAGAATCTTGGACATGAAGATAGAACAACCGGTCAATAGGAAATTGCAGTCCAGAGCAGAATTTTTTTCATTTACAGGAGAAGCGAGTATCTGGAATTCAATGCCTGAAAGAATGATAGAAGCAGGAACCATCGCTGCATTTAAAAGCAGTTAGGTGATCGCTTGAAGCGCCACACCATACAAGGTATGGACCAAGTGCTGGCAAATGGATTAGAGTAGATAAGTGCTTGACGACTGGAAGAGACACAGTAGGCTGAAAGGCCTCTCCATGCTATAAAACTTCACTGTGAGATCACCCTCATAAGGCCATATGACTATCGCTGGCGGGGAGACACATCCCACTAACTCCACACACTCAGGGCCCAGAGTTCCCAACTTCTGAACGAAATGAACACCAAACCCAAATCGCCCCACATCCTGCAATAAACCGGGCGGGAGAGAGAGAGAGAAAACAAATACCTCACACACCCCGGGGGAGGGGAATAAATCTGAGGGAGAATTCCCCTCATACCCCAGGAACCATCTCCCCGCACCAAACACTGCCACCGAAAACACAGGGACGAGCACCTCACGGCCCCTCCCAGCAGTCCCCAAACAACTCGCCGTCCTCCCCCAAGATCCTTCACCTTCACCACCCTGCTGGCCTGGCCCTGCTCGGCCTGAAGCCTCGGCCTCACCTTGAAGTAGCCGCCCTCGTAGTGAGTGTTGGGCGGCCCGAAGATCGCCACCTCCCAGTTGTAGAGGTCGGACTCGTCGACCAGGGTGATGCGGAAACCCTCTACCGGCTCCTCCTGGAGGCTCTTTAGCTCCAGCATCAGCGCCTTCTGGGAGCTGCTGCTCTGCTGGTGAGCCATGGCCACCCGGGCCGGAGCCGGAGCCGGGCCCCCGGGCCGGGCTGGGACTGACTGTGGATCCGGTCCGGAGGTGTCCCCGCTCTAGATCTGAGGGCTGTCCTGGTGGTATCTGCTCCGGGTCTGAGGGCCTGTCCTGGGGGAGTATCCGCTCGAGGTCCGGGGCCTATCTAGGAAGGGGTATCCGCTCTGAGAGTAGGGCCTGTCCGTGGGGGAAGGGAAGGGGGGATATCCGCTCTGGCTCCGGGGCCGCTCCAGGGGGTGGCCAGAGGCCGGAGACTCGGCTCCGAGTCACTGACCCCGCGCTCTGGATACAATCGCCCCCGTCACCGGCTCCGGCCAATCGCGGCGCCGCCACAAAGTAGCAAATCACAATGTGTCCAATCAGGACCCGTGCCACTCTCAACCAATCAGCGCCCGGAACAACAAGCGCCACCAATCAAGGACCAGAGGGTGCAAACTCCACCAATCGGAGAGCGGCCGAACGTGCGCTATCACGTGACAGTTGCACACTGGGCATTTTGGGAGATGTAGTTCCATCCACCAGCCATTGGGCCGTCCCCAATGGTGGTAGGGTTGGATGGTAACACCCATGGATCCGACTTATTGGAACTTCCAAAAGGCATTGCACAGTGGCTTTAATTAGAGATACTTCACTAAATTTGCAAATATTTGACTTGGTTAGGAGTTTACCTGAGCAACAGAATAGAGAGATTACACAGTGTGGAGCTGGAGGAAGACAGCAGGCCAGGCAGCATCAGAGGAACAGGAAAGTTAACGTTTCGGGTTGGGAACCTTCTTCAGAAATGGGGAGATTTCTGAGAGATTAGTTCTTATGCAGGCACTGGAATTGGATGGATGAGACAAATCTTGTCAAAAGACAAAGTCTGGTGCACTCTTTCTGAAGGCACACAGCATTCGCCACAAGGTAGATGATCTTAAGGCACAAATAGAGAGAAATAGGTACATGGTGACTAGGAGCAGGAACTGAATATTCATGAATATTTGATGTTTAAGAAGCACAGACAATAAAGAGGAGAAGGCATTGCAGTCAGATTGAACAGAATGGATGGGATCAGTATATTAGTCAGGGTGAATCTCAGATCAGGAGACCTACATATGAAATCTGTTTGGGGACAGTTAAGAAACACCAAGGGGCAGCAGATGTTGAAGTAATTCATTGGCCACCAAATAATAGTGGTAGTATGGGGCATGGTATTAATCAGAAGATGAGGGAACCATTTAGCAAAGACGACGTAGTAATCATGAGTTATTTCAATTTACACATTGACTGAGTAACCAATTTAGCACGAAAACTGCGGGGACATGTTTCTGGAGTGTTTTAAGAATGGTTTGCTAGAGCAGCTGTTGGGGGAGCCAACTAGATTACAGGCTATTTTATTCCTGAATTTATGTAATGACAAAGGACTAATTCATTATCTTGCTGGTAAAGAACTTTTAAGCATCAGTGACCATATATATCCTGAAGGGTGTTAAATTTGAAAAGGGAAATTATAAATGCTTGAAAAAAAATGGCTGAGGTGAATTGGGAAAATACTTAAAAAGCATGACTGCTCCTAAGCAATGGAGAGTTAACAAAGAACTATTACATGACTTACAGCATCTCTACATTCTTTCAAGATGCAAATATTAAAAAGCGAGAGTCAACTATGGCTAACAAAGAAGTTGGGGATTATATAAGATTAAAAGAAAAGGCTGATAAATTGGCCAGAAATGGCAGTAATGCTGAGGATTGGGTGGTTACAACTGAGGAGGACAGGAAACTGATAAGGAAAGGGAGAATAGAAAATGAATGCAATCTGGCAAAAAAAAACTGTAAAAGCTTCTGCTGGTATATAAAAAACAAATGGGAGTCCATTAAAGGGAGAGTCAAGAGAACTTATAATGTGGAACAAATAAATGACAGAAACTCTAAATTATTACATTGTCTATGTTCACCGAGGAAGATTCAAGAAAACTCCCAGGAGTAAAGATCCTGGTAATTAGGGAGAATGAAGAGTTGAAGGAAATTGGTATTACTAACAAGAATGTACTTGGGAAGTGTAATGGGGCTGATAAGTTAATAAATCCTCTGGGATGATGGCCATTGGCCCCTGAGTGTTAAGAAGGTAGTTATAGAGATAGCTGACACATTGAGGAATATTTTCGAAATTCTAGAGATTCTGGAATGATTCTTGTGGATTGGAAGGTAGCAAATATCACCCTCCTTCCACCCCCATTTACAAAGGAAGCAAGAAAGAAAACAAGGAAAAGACCCGACAACCTTACATTAAGCAGTAGGGACAATATTAGAATTTATTATAAAGGATGGAATAAATAGATACCTGGACTAAATAGATACAAAATTCTGATTGGGCAGTTTCCTGTCCTCCTTATTTGCAAATAGGAAATCATGTTTGACAAACTTATTGGAGTTTTTTTGAAGATGTTATATACAAAATTGATAGAGAGTCAATGGACATAGTATGCTTAAGATTATCAGAGGGCTCTTGATAAAATCCCCTACAGGAGGCTGGTTAGAAAAATTAAAGCACATGGCCAACGGAAAACAGAGTAGGAATAAGTAAGTCATCCTCGTGTTTGTAGACTTTGACTTGTAAGGTACCACAAGGACCAGTACTTGGGCCTTAGCTGTTCACAATATATATCAATGATTTGGACATGGGGATTAAAACAATATTTACAAATTTGCAAGTGATACAAAGCTTAGTGCGAGTATGTAATGAGGAAGATGTAAAGCAGCTTCATGAGGATTTAGTCAAGATTAGTGAATAGGCCACAAGACAACAGATCAAATATACTGTGGGAAAATGTGAGGTTATCCACTTGGTAGGAAAAACAGATGATAAGAGATTGGAAAGTGTGGTTGTACCAAGGTGACCTTGTCAATAAGTCACTGAAGGCTAACTTGCAAGTGCAGCAAGCTATTAGAAAGCTAATGGGATGTAAGCCTTTATTGTAAGAGGATTTGAGTACAAGAGTAGTGAGGTCTTGCTTCAATTCTGAGAGAGCTTGGTTAGACAACAGCTGCAGTACTGAATGCAGATTTAGTCTCCTTATTTTCAGGAAAGATAATATTGCCACAGACAGGGTCCAGAGATGGATTTTACTGTGGTGAAAGGTCCCTGATTTCTGTATGTACCGATGTCATTTTGAACTTGAAATTTAGAATGCTGGCATTTTTGTGAAGGAATTTTTAAAAGAGTCACTAGATCAGACAGTCTTTCCAGAACAGTCACCTAATTCAGTAGGTTGGGAACCATTGGAAGATTGTTTGTGCGGTGTTGATTATGACAGTGAGTGTAGAAATTGAGGGCGATTAGCTCATTTTTGATTCAGGATAATCGTAGGGTTGAGAGATAGCAAGAACTGCAGATGCTAGAGTCAGAGTCAATACAGTGTGGAGCTGAGGAACACAGCAGGCCAGGCAGCATCAGAGGAGCAGGAAAGTTGACATTTCGGGTTTACACCCTTCATCAGGACTGATGCTGCCTGACCTGATGTGTTCCTCCAGCTCCACACTATTAATCCTAGGGTTGAGTTTATCTTTAGAAACCAATTAAGGGAAATGGAATTTTGGCCTTTATTGCTAGGTGGTTAAACTTTAGGGAAGACTTGTTACAACTGTACGAAGTGTTTTTGAGGCTTTACCTGGAACACCGTGTACAGTTTTGACCCCTGTGATGAAGGCGATGCCACAGCAAGAACAACTAAAAAGATGAAGCCTTTATTCACTGGAGTTTAGAAAAGAATAAGAGGCGATCTCATTGAAACATGAAAGACTTTGAGGGGTCTTCACAGGGTAGATGTTGAGAAGACATTCTCACTAGAGGGAATCTCAATTTAGAGGACATAGTTACAAAATTAGGGTACACACATGTAAAACTGAGATACAAAGAAATTTCTTTGCCCCGATTGTAGTGAATGTCTAGAATTCTCTATCACAGAGAGTAGTGGAGGCTAGATCATTGAAAGATTTAAGGCAGCGGTAGATTTTTGAAACAGAATTTGAGGACAATGAGGAGCTGGCATGAAAGAGGAGTTGAGGCCTTGAGCAGATCAAAAATGATGCTACAGAATGACGGGACAAACTCAAGTAGCTGAAGGGCCTACTCCTGCTCCTACTTCTTATGTTTTTATGTTGACCAAGAGATTAAAAGATTATGGCAATTTGGTGGAGACCCGATGGGTTCGCTTTTAAAAAGTCACTTTTAAAGTAAAGTGTAAAACAGTTCATGAAAAGCAGTAAAATCAATCATAAAGTTTAACTTTCAGACCAGGAGTGTTTGACTAAAAGTCTGCAAGCTATTTAAAAGCTGAAAAAGCCTAATATCTCAGTTTTATGAGTTTTAATATATGAAGAAATGGAGAAACTAGGAATTGGAGTAGGCCATTCAGCCCTTCAAACCTGCAGATCATCCAAATCAGTCCCCTGTTCCCACTTTCTCATACCTTTGATCCCTTTAACCCTAAGAACTAAATGTATCTCCTACTTGAAAACTTAATATTTTGGCCCCAATCACTTTGTGGTTGAGAATTCCACCCTGTAGGCGAAGAAATTTCTCCTCATTCTCAGTTTGAACTGGTCTACCCTGTATCATTAGACTGTGACTTCCTGGTTCTGGACTCCACAGTCATTGGGAACATCTTTCCTGTGTTTACCCTGTCTAGTCCTGTTAGAATTTTATAGGTTTCTATGAGATTCCCCTCATTTTCCTAAACTTCAGTGAATATAATTCTAACTGAACCTGTTTCTCTTCATTAGACTTCAAATGTAACAATGGGGAGAATCAGCCACAACAAACTGAAAGATGATTACAGAGAGTTAACTTCTCTGGATTTGAATCTCTGTAAAGTGATGGTATTGGGGAATAGATGAAACTTTGTTTTGCATTGTGTTTTAAGACTTTCCAAATGGTGTTTAATATTTAGAAAATGGATTTTTTTTTTGTTTTCATCTTTTGTGTAATAATAAACTTTGTTAAAGAAACTGCAGCCTTACATGACTGTGTCAGTGAATGACCACCATGTTAACTAAAAAGAAATGATCATCTATCAGGTGAGATTTCACTCCAGGTCTGACATGTCCAGTATTACCATTAGCTGAGATCATTACATTAACTAACTGGAGCAACTTATGGACAGGAATCTAATATTACACTCCAGAGAGGGTTTCAGGCAATGGAGTGAGGTGTTCATACATGGAATAACAGATACAGGGAGTGAATTACAAACTGGAATCTAAACAAGGGGTTCAGAGAGTTTATATAGAGAATAACAGATACCCAATAGTATGTTAAAGAATGCAATTTAATTGAGGGGTTCAGGATGTTTATATGTTGAATAACAGACACCTGGAAATAAGTTACAGACCAGAAACTATTCAAGGGTTTGTATCACTTGTCTGCTTGCCCCTATTTATCCTACCTATTGTATACTCCACCTTAGTTACTGGGAGAGATTCTAACCCCATTGGGAATTTGAGTACAAGTGCCCTCATTCTGCTGCTCTCATTTCCCCGGAATTTCTGAAACTTGCTGTTCCCCACATTTTCAAAACAACCACAAGGTTTTTATGCTAATGTTAGTTTGTATTGTCCTCCCCTGCAATGATTTAATGTAGCACGACATCACACCGACATTATGACTGAAGCGAGTGATGGTCAGTCACACTCAGCTAATCTCACCTTATTCATATTAAGTTTTCAATGAACTTATGATGGAGCACAGCATGTCAGCTGGATGGATGGAGGAAGCATAGGATGGCTATATGGGATTTGATATCAATATTGTTCCCTGACTGGAGAATATTTGTTGCCAATATATTCTTGGCTTGGTGGGAGTGGGCTGGAGATAGGATCCTGGCTTCACTGGGATTGGAATTGGATGATACAGATAGTCTTTACAAATATGATTTACATTCATACGCTCAACCGCTCCCTGAGCAGGTCATGGAATCAACTGCTCTTCCAATGCATCCGCCAAGTCGCAGAGCTTCTTGGGGAGGGGAAACTATACAAGAGAGTACACAAGGCACTGAAAACCTTCAGCAATCATTCAGGAAAGGAATGCCAAAAACTGAAATCCCAAGGGCATCAGTAGCAATGCTGGATAACAGCAGACTAGATTCCAGAGTACAACAACGCTCCAGGGTACAACAGTTGCGCAACGAGGGACGACACAGGAGATCCATGAGGCGATCAGGGAAGGAACGTATACAACGCTGGTTTGATGAAATGCTGGATAGACAGAAATAAATCAAATCCAGAGTTAAAATTGACCATAAAGTCTGCAACTCCACTAACGTGTTCAGAAAGAGTCAACAAACGTTAAATGCAAATCTTCAGCAATGCAGGTCACTGTAGCCTCATGTAACTTATATTTATATATATATATATATATATATATATGTATATAATGTTTGAAATAAAAAATGGACCCTCATTTCTGAGCTCCTTATCCAGGACAGCAGAATAGTCACCAAACCGACAGCAGCTGTTGACATATCTGTGTTGTGATGTCAGGACCATGCCACCGTACATCCTAAATAAATTGTCTGCATAATAGTTTTGTGTTGTGGATTAAGAAAATGCTCTGAATTCTTTCAATCAATTAGAGGGAATGCAACATAGACTTAACAGAGATTCCTGTATACCAGGGTTAAACTACAAGAGGTTCCACTAGGAACTGTATTCCCTGGGATCAGAAGATTAATTTTAAAGTTTTTGATAGTAAATGAATATCAAGATAAGGTTGATAGAGAGAAACAGCTTCCGGTACGTGGGGAGAGTATGACGATGGACAGAGCCTAAATATTGAAGGCAGACTGTCCAGGAGTGAAATTAGGAAACACACAAAGGCTAATAGAATTTTCAAGCTGTTTGCTGGAAACAGCAAATGAACCTTGATCCACTGTTAACCTTTAATCTCAGATTAATATATTTTTAAAAGTTAAAAATGTTAAAGGGATTTGGTGAAGATTTGAAGTTTGGTTACAGATCAACCATGACCTCAGAATGACCAAATAGGCCTGAGGGATTGAATGGCCACATCCTTTCGTAGTTTAAACACAGACCATTCTTCTGGTGGAAGATTGACATGACAGGCCATTTCATGGGAGAACTTTCATTATCAATATTCTGTGGTGAAGCAGTTTACGCACAATACAGTAGCACAGACTAAAATAATCTTATGTCACTGTATTTCAACACCAACAGTACTTACACACAAAAAAATGTGCAGCTACATTCTGGGTCTGAATGGATATCCAATGACTGAGCATAGAAAATTAAGCTGAATGATTACAAGAACAGTGACTGGATTGGGTTATGTTTAATTTGACTGTTTAGTACAGCACAGAGTGCTATATCTAATTATGTGAAAGCCAATATTACAAAACAGAAATGAACCAGGTGTCAACAATGGTCAATAACACATAAATACTCCATGAATACTGAGAAGCAGCAGCTCACTATGTCGTATAGACTCAGTTTCAAATGTTGACACTGTCCTGCAAGAATCCTAATAGCACAAGTAAGGACTGTCCCCCCGAGATGGGAAGCAGTACAACAAAATCAGTCAATCTTCCCACTGCCTGTTGAAGGGAGTTGGTGAAAACAATCCCTACAGTTGGATGTGTTGTCTCAAATGTGTATGCCTCAAATTGTCAAGACAAGAACAGTGTGAAGTCTGGGACAAGGATACACCGTTGCATTGGCATTAAGACCCAGACTTTCCCTGGCTGGTGGGAGGTGGGAGAGGTAACAGACTAAGCAGCACAGACAATGCAGAACCCAAAATATTCTTCATGTATCAGAAACACAGTGCAAAGAGATCAACGATTCAATGGGCGCATTGGCTGGGTGGGGTTTTGAGGGAACTTGCCTCAGTGCAGTCTGCATCACTGACAATGCATTGTTTAAATAGGTAACAGTACAACAAATCACCCAATGAGCAGGAACTCCAGGGACCAAGTCAGGTTGCATCTGTGCTCAGTACATTTACTGCCTGTTTTTGTACACTGATAGTCAACTGATGGGTTTTACTTTCTCAATGAAGAGAGGAGCAGTGAGCAGGACAAACTCTTCCTTGTTTATTGATGTGATCGATTCTTTTTTCCGTAGCCTCACTGCTCTTTCCATGGCCATCCCGAGCTGATCTGGGGCTAACTTGGAGCCAGCATCCAGGTAGCCAACAGAACTGGAAGAGTCTCCGATGCTCACTGCATCTTTCAAAGCTTCGAGCAGAACATGACACACAGTCTGATCAGCTTCATCAGAGTCAGCCACCACATCAAACAATCTGCCAGAAATCTTCACAAACTCCATGAAGATCAGGCAGGTCAACACCCCATGTCTGAAGACGCCAAAAGGAACAGCTTCGTGATCCCAACACTGCAGCTTGTGGATCAGGGAGCAGGATGAGAGCTGGGCCCCTGCACAGATCTGTCTCAAGAGCTCAGTGTAGGTTCTACCTTTCAGGCCAGCTTTCTTCTTCTTACCAATGGGGGAGCTGAGGATCTGGAAGGCTGAAGCTAGATTCCTGCTGAAGGCTGGTCGGCTGTAGTGACAAAGCAACAGCTGCCTCAAGGCTCTCGAGACCAGCTCCTACAGACAGAGAGTAAAGGAGGTTTATAGTGTCATCGAGTTTTACAGAGTGGAAAGAAGCTCATTGGCCCATCATGTCCATGCTGGTCATCAAGCACCGGTTTACTCTAATCCCATTTTCCAGCAATTAGCCATAGCTTTGTATTCTATGGTAGTTCAAGTAATCATCTAAATATTTCTTAAATGTTATGATGCTCCAGCCTCTGCTGCACTGTCAAGCAATGTGTTCCAGAAACCCACCACCATCTCAGTCAAATATTCTCCCTTAAATCCCCTCTAAAGCTCTAGTCCTTTAACTTAAATCCATGCCCCCTGGTCCCTCGACCAAACCTCCATGCTCTTGTATTTATGGCTCGACTCTTAAAAACAAGTATTCATTTCCCTTCTTAACCACCTTATCCACCTGTCCTGTTGCCCTTAATGAACCGTGTGCTATGCACACGTACCAAGGGCCCTCTGATCCTCCTTACTTCCTAGGTTCTATCAGTCAGTACATACTCCCTTGCCTTGTTAGTCCTTCCAAAATGTGTCACCTCATAATTTTCAGGACTAATTCCATTTGTAATTGTTCAATAGCCCATCTATATCATCCTGTAGTCTTGAACTTTTCTTCTTGCTATTTACCACACCATCAATTTTCATGACATCTGCGAATTTACCGGTCAAACCTCCTACATTGACTATCAACATACACTACAAAAAAGCAAGAGACCCAGCACTGAACTCTAAATAAAAAATAAAAGAACAGTGGATGCTGTAAATCAGGAACAAAAAGAGAAGTTGCTGGAAAAGTTCAGCAGGTCTGGCAGCATCTGTGAAGGAAAAAACAGAGTTAACGTTTCAGGTCCGGTGACCCTTCCTCAGAACAGAAACTGTGAAACCTAGTCAAGAGCCTTACTGAAGTCAATGCAAACTACATCTACTGCACTTCCCTCACTTAGCTAATCAGCTTCTCTAAAGTTCAAACCTGTCAGACATGATCTTCCCCCAGGCAAAACCAAATCTTTGATTAATTATTGCCTCTCCAATAGCTTCCCTACTGAACACTTCACCTGACGAAGGAGCATCACTCTGAAAGCTTGTGATTTCAAATAAAACTGTTTGACTATATAGAAACCGAAAGAACTGCAGATGCTGTAAATCAGAAATTGCTGGAAAAGCTCAGCAGGTCTAGCAGCATCCATAAAGAGAAATCAGCGTTAACATTTCAGGTCAGGTTCTGAGGAAGGGTCACCAGACCCACAATGTTAACTCTGATTTCTCTTCACAGATGCCACCAGACCTGCTGAGCTTTTCCAGCAATTTCTGTTTCAGTTGGACCATAACCTAGTGTCACGTGACTTCTGACCTTGTCCACACCAGTCCAACACCGGCACTTCCACATCACCAATGTTAGACTTGATGGCATGCAGTTTCCTGGTTTATCCCTACCACCCTCCTTGAATAATACTCCCATATTAGTTGTCCTCAGGCACTTCTCCAATGGCCAGATAGAGTTTGAATATTAATACCACAACTCCTGCAATCTCCTCCCTCATCCTTGCATGTGATATGCGGGACAGCACAGTAGTTCAGCAGTTAGCACTCACAGCACTAAGGACTAATTTCAATTCCACCTTTGGGCAACTGTCTGCATGCAGTTTGCATGTTCTCCCCATGTTTGTGTGGGTTTCCTCCACAGTCCAAAGATGTGTAGGTTAAGTGGATTATCCATGCTAAATTTCCCATAGTGATCAGGGATGTGCAGGTTAGGTGGATTACGCATGGGAAGTGCAGGGTTATGGGGGTATAGTAGTGGAACTGGTCTGGGGATCCTCTTTGGCAGGTTGGCGCAGACTCAATGAGCCAAATGACCTGGTTCTACACTGTAGGAATTCTTATCCAGACCCAGGATCCGTCTACTTTCAAATGTGCTGAAATTGTGAAAATCTCCTCCCTCCCAATGCTAATTTGGTCAAGTTTACCATCGTTCCTCTCTCTGATTTTTTTATACCTTCACGGTCTTTCTCTACTGGGAGTACATATGCAAAGTACTCATTTAAAACATCAACTGTGTCAGAACCTCTGAGAATCAGCGTAATGAGAGCAATTGGCTCAACCCATTGATGATAACACCACGTCATTGAAACAAGAATGGAGGCACCCAGGTTTAAGGTCACAGAACCTGCACAGCACAGAAAACGGCCTTTTGTCCATCATCCCTAACAACCATGTATTCTCAGCCCATTTTCCAACAATTGTTCCATAGTCTTGTTTGTCTTGGCATCGTTAAGTGTACACCTAAATACTTCTTCAACGTGATGAGGTTTCTGTCTTTCACCATTACAGGCGGAGTCCCCACCACCTTCTGGATGAAAAATATTTTCCTAACATTGAATAGATTCCCTGGTCACTGATTCCTGTCAAGGGGAAAAGTTTATCCCTACCTCCCCAGTCTATGCTCTCAGTGCTTTCTACACCTCAGACCTTGTTTCCCCACCTCCTCCGCGCTAATGAAAACAACCCCCGGGCGGTGAAGGCCCCGGGCCCTGGGGCTCGGCTGCTCCCGCCGCCCGGTACCTGCTGCTGTTTCGGGGCGGGTTTCTCGGTCGCTCCCTCCGAAGCCGCCGCCAGGTTCTCGAAGTATTCGCTCAGGAAACAAACGGGATCCTCGGGCCTGTTCTCCAGGACCTTGAGCAGCGCCTCTCGGAGCGTGGGTGTGAGAGCGGCCGGGATGGGAGGCCCCGTGAGCGGCCCCGATCGACCGGAAACCGCGGCCACCGCCATCTTACTCCCAAGTTCGCCGGGAAAGGCGGCCCACGGGAAACTAGGAGCGAGACTTTCGTTCCGGATCGTTCGTTCTTCGGGCTTTCGTTCCGGTCTTCACAACCTTCGATAAAAAAAATCCAGTGAGAAAATAAACAAACTTATATTTAGATAGAACCTTTAACAAGGTAACATGTTCCAAACTGTTTCTCAGGCGCGTTATCGAACAAAGTTGGAATCCAAACCAGCTTAATGTGGTAAAATATTAGTTCTTTTTGTGATCTAGTAAATGCAAAAACCTACACTAATGCTCCAAAATCAAGAGTTCAATTCCTGTCACAACAGCAGATGAATTTAAACAATTTGGATTTTTTAAATCGTATTAATATCATTGACAATGATGATAAAACTATCGGTTTGTGGTTAAAACAAAATCTTCCTGGTCTTTAACGTCCTTACCTAGTCTGGGCCTACTTGTGACTCCAAACCCACTACAAAGTGATCAAGTCCTAACTGCCCTTAGAGCTCCCTCAGCAAGACATTTCAAAGTTAGGTTCAAGAGCAATGCTTACCACCACCTGTGGAAAGACAGTGAGGCAATGACCAACCCACATTGGCCTCCCTGGCATTGCCAATGTGAACAAATAAAGAATGGGACGATGACCAAAGCAAGAGGTTTAAGGAGGTCCTTAAAGGAGGAAATCAAGGTAAAGAGGATTAGGGTGGGAATTCCACAGTTTAGGGATGGGTATGGCCACCAATGGTGGAGCCATTAAGTTTGAGGAAGGTCAAAAAGGGTCTAGGCCCGAAATGTCAGCCTTCCTGCTCCTCTGATGCTGCTTGGCCTGCTGCATTCATCCAGCTCTACACCTTGTTATCTCAGAACTGAAGAGTGTTGAGATGTTGAGGTGTGGGGAAGGAGAAGAGCTAGGAAGGGCTAAGATCAAGGAAAGATTTTAAAGTCACGATGAGAATTGTGAAATTGCCAGGTTGGGGGCCATTGCTGGTCAGCAAACATAGAGAGTGATCAGTAAATAGGACTTACTGTCAGGGTGGGACATGTGCAATAGCAAGTTTGTAATGTCTCAAGTTTAAGGAGGGTGAAGGGTAGGAAAGTAGCCAAGTTTATGTTGGAAGAGTCATGTCCTGTGGTTTAAAAAAAAAAGCATGAATGAGGGTTTTCTCAGCACCTAAGCTGAAAGTGGCCAAATTGGGCAATATGTGGTGAAAATAGGCAATCATAGTGATAACACAATTATAAGGTTGAATGACCATCTCGGAGTCAAATAACACATCAATATTGCAAACAGATTGTTTCAATTGCAGACAGTTGCTATGGTAAAGGATGAGGTTGGTAGTTAAATAGCAGGATTTGTGTTGAAGACTGAAACGAAATGGCTTCAGTTTTCCCAATTTATGATTGGGGAAATTTCTGCTTATCTGTCACTTATTGTTGGATCCTAATCTGATCATTCAGAGACAGTGGAGGAACCAAGATGGTGGGTGGTGAGAGAGAGCTGGGCGTCCGCTGCACACATGTGAAAATTAACACTGTGTCTTTGGATGATGTAGAAGAGAAATAGGAAAGGCTGAGGATAGGTCCATGAGAACACCAAAGACTTAAGGAAGAAAATTGTATTTTAAAGTCATATCCATGGACCTGTTTAGGTGGCTTTACGTTGTGGTTTAAAACTATTTTTATAAACAGCAATGGGAGTGGCCAAGGAGTTGAAAATTTAGGTTAGAATGATTTCCAACTTCCTAAAAATGGTGCGGCTCCACAGTAAGAACCAGCTAACGCTATTTTTGTGTCATTACCTTTTACAGCTTGACTTGTCATGGCTGAGCAGGCAGCACTCACATCTCAGAGGTTATGTTACTGAGGGAGAGACTCCATGTTGTGAACTTGGATAGAATACTTGTGAATTGGAAGGCAGGATGTTAGAATTTGTTTGTAAAAATGATAGGGGGAACAGTGCCTAGTCCCTTTAAGAGGTGATGTACTTTTCTAAGCTAAGAGATAAAAAAAAAGTCTGCAAGCAATTGCAAATGCACAGACAGTTCTGAAATTGAAACATATGAATCAGTTGGCTGTGTTGGTGATGAGCTAGGCTTGTTTTGATGTTAAGGCAACCAACTTCAATATCAGCCAATTATTTTAAACCAGGCACTTAGAGACTGAAAACCACTTGAATTTAAATCTGATGGTGTTGACAACCTTGGACCAATCCTATTATAAGAAAATTGATAGGTCATCAAGGTTATATAAGAAGAGGATTTTTTTCCCTTGAAAATCAGTGTGAGCGAATTGCCATCGGAAGAGTAACATCTGGCTCTCACAGAAATCTTTAAACTCTCTGATTAAGCAATATGTAAAAGATATCACCGCACTCTCAACTAAAATTCCTGACACAAGGATTTGACGAAGTCAGAATTCCTGACTGAAGAATAGCGGAAAAGGCATGGAACATTCCAGAAGACGCAGCCTGACCGTAGTTTCGAGAGTCTAAGTTTTAATTTTTTTTGTCTTATTACTTTGGCTTATAAAAGTGGGATCTGGCCGGTTCATGTATGGGATCTGAATGGATTTGGACAGATTTCAACAAATTTGGGGTACGAAAGGTCCCAGCCAATTTAAACAGACGTGGGGATTAGTCACCTGGATCTTTAAATAAAATTTAGATGAGAAGTAGAAAATCTGTTTAATTTGGTTAAATCAAAAGTGAGGTAATGGCTGTTTCAGTCATGAAGAGTTTACTGGGGTTGGAAGAAGTGACTTTTACAGAAGATGAGCAAGGAAAAGCTGCTGGAATTGGCCGACAAGCTGGGATTGGGGTTGCCTTTGTCGGTGAGAAAAGAGGTAATTACAGCAATAGCTCGACATTTAAATTTGCTGGAAATGCCATCAGATTCTTTGGAAATGGCAAGAATTCAATTGCAGATGAAGCAGCCTGAACAGGAAAGGGAACTGTTTGCATTATGGTTACAAGCAGAGGGAAGACAAAAAGAAAAAGAGAGAGAGAAGAAAGGGAGAAAGAGAGTTTGAACTTTGGAAGTTGCAAATTAAACAGGATAGCCGATTTAAAATAATGGAAATAAGGGTAGAAAATAGGTTTAGTGAGGAGGAGAGTGATGATGAGCAGACCCACTGTAGCCAAAAACCTGGTAGGGATATATATAAGTATGTCAAAACATTACCAAAATTCAATGAAAATGATGTAGAAGCCTTTTTCATTTCCTTTGAGAAATTGGCTAAACAGATGAACTGGCCAGAGACTGTGTGAATAATCTTAATTCAGACCAAGTTGCTAGGCAGGAACAGTGAGGTGTTTGCAGTGCTGTCAGAGGAGATAGCAAGAGAATATGAAGAAGTAAAACAGGTTATTTTTAATGCCTACAAATTGATACCAGAATCATATAGACAACGATTCAGAAATGTCAGAAAGGAAATAGGTCAGACTTATGTCGGGTTTGAAAGAATTAACAGAGCAACTTCGATAGATTGATGAGAGCATTTTAGATAGAAAAGACATACGAGGATCTTAGACATGTTGTTCTGCTGGAGGAGTTTAAAAACTCCCTTCCAGAAGTGGTAAGAACTCGTGTTGAGAAACAGAAATTTAAAACAGGGAGAAGAGCTGTAGAGATGGTGGATGAATACGCATTAGTGCATAAATTGAAATCTAGCTTCTGACAGCAATTTCATTCTGTGAGGGATAAAAATTGGGAAAGAGGGAGATCCTTTAATGAAAAACAACAAGTGGATCACACTGGGAACAGTTTACCACATGTGAAAAAAAAAACCTAAGAGGGTGGAAAAGAGATGAAAGCCCCCAGGTGTTTTCACTGCAATAAGGTGGGACACACAAAGTCACAGTGCTAGAATTAGAATTAGAATTAGAATTAGAATCCCTCCAGTGTGGAAACAGGCCCTTCGGCCCAACAAGTCCACACCGAACCTCAGAGCATCCCACCCAGATCCATCCCCCTATGACCCACCTAATATACACCCTCTACCTCCCTGAACACTACGGGCAATTTAGCATAGCCAATCCGCCTAACCTGCACATCTTTGCTGGTGGTTTAAGAAAGGTGCCGAGAACAAGGATGTGGTAAAAGAGGCTAAACCAGTGGGATTAGTTGAGGTAGTGAAGGAAATCCGAAAGGAAGTCGAGGAGCTGCAGGAGAGTGCACAGCCTAGTCACGGGCTGGATAGTCAGATAGTACCCGATCTTTTCAAAGATTTCACCTGGGTGGGTAAGGTTTACTCGGGCAGAACGGGGGAGTAGGTAAAGAAGTGAAAATATTGAGAAATAGGGAGGTGGTCAGTCTCTAATAGTAAGAGATGAAAGTGATTGCACTCCTTAAATGTTACCCAAGAGCGTGATAATCTGTGGAATAACTGGAGAGAGATTTAGCATTCCCCTGTGTAAGATAAGGCTAGAAAGTCCAATCAAGACTGGGGAAGTGACAGTGGGAGTGATTGAAAGAGTCTATTCCAGGAATACGGTTTGTTCTTGGAAACAAGCCAGCAGGATCAAAGGTGGAAGTGATGCCCCTTGTAGTGCAGAAGCTGAAGGAAAACCAGGGGACTGAGGAGTTAAAAGAAAAATACCCCGGAATTTTTCCAGACTGTGTGGTGACAAAATCCCACAGTCATTGGTTAAAGCAAGAGGGGAAAACCAAAGAGAAAGAAAAAGGAGTTAAGGTCCAGTTAGCTGACACTCTGTTTGACGAAATGGTAAAGGAAAAATTGAGGCAGGTAGAGGATCAGGCAGAGGTTTTAGTTCTGAAAGACGAATGGAGTTAGAACAAAAAGATGAGATGATAAAGGATTTATATCATAAAGCCTACTCGGAAAAAGAATCAGAATGTATTCCTCAATGTTATTACCTTAAGGATAAAATCTTAAGGCGGAAATGGAGACCTTGGCAGGTTAGTGCAGAGGTGAAATGGGCGGATGTTCACCAGATTGTGTTGCCGGTAGAATACAGACAGGAAGTATTGTGGGTAGCACACAAATTACCTGCAGGAAA